GATGGATGGACAGATCTTCATCTACAACATTATAAATATGTCTACAACAGTGAGACTGGGGTTCTATGGAAATGTTATGAACAGTTAACATCTCACCTGTTGTAGATAGCTCTTTGAACAACCCAAGTTTGGAGAAGTTTATTTTTATCATCGTCAAGTCCAGATTACTCAGTTATTTACACAGAAGTCCGGTAATTTAAAAACACAAATAGTGACAGCAGCAGCTAGCTGTAGCACCTCTGGTGCAGCCTGGGGCATTTCCTGCAGAAATATCACAATATTTATTTATAAAAAACATGCAACATGTTTGGTGGTTAAATGTTTATAGAACTGCTTCAATATAAACCTGTACCAACATTTTCAGGATTAAACTATTTCTACAAACTGAGGACAGTATTTCTATAAATCTTTTCCACAGAAACTCATTTTGACAAGTCTGAACTATCCCCATGGATTAATAATGTCACATAATGAAGATACATCGTCTGTGTTTTCTCTGTAAGATCCAACCGTGAGGATGTGAAACCACGTCGGTCCATTTACGTGACGTCTATTAGCCACAGAGGTGAAAGGAAATATCTCTGTGGGCGACTGAACCGAGGCAGCGATTCAAGTATGAAGCATCAGAACTCAAATAAACCTGACGTTTGCATGTTTCATCTGGAATATTTAGAGTTTATTGTAAAAAATGACAGCTTATGATGATCGACATGAGGCACATGGAAAAGCAGTTACTAACGCGGGCTGAGCAGCAGTCGTATGAACCCTAATGTGGAGGCAGAAAAAACAGTACAATGACAGAACAGACTGTTTGTTTTAGAAACATAATCTTTTTAACAATATGTTATATGAACACTTTTTGGCCAGAAGGTTTTCTTGGTTTGTAATCATAGCAAAATGGACAAAAAATAAGCAGTGTCTGCACTCGGGTGGGCTTCTGTTAGCATTTTAAGTGCATTTACTTCAACTTGAAACAACTAATACGTTATTTTTCTGTTCTTGTCCTTCACTAAATAAACAAATAAAAATTAAAGAATAAAATAACCAAGCTCAGATTGAATTTTAAAATTACAATCCATGATTTATTACAGAAAAGAGTGATATCCAAAGTATTTTATGTTACATTTTTTTTCTTTTACATTACATTTAAATGTTTTTACATGTAAACAGGAATGAAGTAAACAAAGCTCTTGGTACGGTTCATATCACCCTATTAAACATTTAAATCTATGAGCTGACGACGCCACTGTGCTTCCACACCAACTACATCAGCATGATCCTATTAGGAGGCATGGCGTACGACAGAAAGCTTAATCCCTCCGCAGGCTGCAATGTTTTCAGATATGTGCAAGGTCACGCCATTATTACTTATGATACAATACTCATATTGTGCTATTGCCAGCGGTGGAAGGCTTCCTACCACTGTGCAGCATTTGTGTGGCGGGTGAGCGGATGAAGATCCAGATGGAAATGATTAAGAGCAGGGCGAGCCAGACACCCAAGGTCATGCTGTTAGTCATTCATAAAAATCACCTCCTCCCCCTCAGGTTAAATACTCGAGCTGTTCGGGGGTTAAATGTCTTTACAGCTCCAAGCAGAGGTTTCACATCCCAGGTCCAACATTGCAAAGTCCAAGGTGTTATTTTAGAAAATACTCCTTCGGTATAAAACCCAGCCGAGACTTTGAAAACGGTCAACACAGGGAAAACATAAAATAAAATAAGAGGTGATAGAGTTTAAGACACTGGTAATACATTTACAGATGTGGCTTGTTTTGCTAAAAGCAGCTGTTAAGACATGCATACTCCACAAAAGTACCAGCACACCTACATCTGCATCTGTCCAAAGAAACAACATTCAAGGATAACAACATGCATAGATTGTTAGAGTTCACATAGCAGGGAAAATATTCTCAACTAGTAGCTTAAGTACTGGACTAAGATTTAAAAGCGATGAAACAATAAGTGGTTGGGCTAAACACGACCTGAAAAGAAAACCTGCATTATACGGTCTCCATGAAGTGCACATTGTAGGAGTTTTGATCTGCTATAACACGCAAACGGCAGCAACGCAACACAACAAACAGTGCATAAATAAAAAGTCAAATAACTTTTTTTTAAAACTGTGAGTCTGCATATCAGTCATGCAAAAGCACTGCAGTGCAAAATATATATTTCTACAAAAAACCCAAACAAACAAACATTAAACAGTTTAACTGCACCGTAGAAAACTTGATAAAAATTAGCTCATCTACGAACATTCAGAGGACACCTGAGAGATGTGGACGGAACGTTGCCTGTCTGATGTGAAAACATGGAACCTGGTTTTGATAATGCAACATTTAAAAAAAAAAATATATATATACTGTATATATATATTCACATATGAAAAACATATAAAAACAGAATGAGAGAAAAAAATCTTGCAAAATGCAACTAAAATTTACCCTGGATAGTGATATTTGTTGCCCTCATGGGTCAAATTGGAACCTGCTCTGAACTTAACATTATAATCAATTCATTCAACCTTTATTTATATTAGTCTCATGAAGACTCGAGGACTCTTTTACAAGACAGACCTGATCTGATTTTAATCAGTAGCAGACACAACTTTTTTTTTTTTGTGTCTTGATGATAAATCAAGTTTACAACCAAACACAAAAGCACAACATAGTGTTGTTCAACCCGGATACCAAGGCCCAGTCTACACCGCACTGGATACTTTTAAAAGCACAGATTTATTTGCACCTCCAGTCCACCTGAAAAGAGATGGGGTAGAGGCAGGGCAGCCGACGCAGGACCCGAAAGTCCCATGTTCGATCCTCAGTCATTGCACATCTCATGGTGTCTCTGAGCAGCACACCCTATCTCCAATTGCTCCCAGAGCACTTTCAAAAGCTGCCCACTGCTCCACCTGGTGGTGGATGGGTTAAATGCAGAGATCCAATTTCACCATTGTATGGGAACATACAATGGTGACAACACATAACACATTATATTATTATTATTATTATTATTATCATTATTATTATTATTTGAAATGATGATTTTGGGGAATACATTTTAGACTTTTTTTTTTCCAAAACCAAAAAGCATAAAAAAAAAAAAAAAAGTTTTGGTGGGTGTCCAAAATACAAAAGGTTTTAAATTTTACTTTTTTTTAAACATAGCAGTATATTTTGCACATGTCCTGCCCACAGCCAAAACACCACGTCTGCCTTGTTTTAACCTGTTCTGGTTGTCATTGAACTTTGATTGCATGAAGAAATTCAAAATCAATGAAATGAAAATGTAAATGCTATAATCAAACAAATAAATAGACAAACAACAATTATTATTATTATTATTATTTTTGCTTATCTAAGAAGGTTCTTACTTTGTAATTAATGCGCTTTTAAAGTTGATATTATCACCACCCAGTGGCATGGCATGGGTATTTCACTTTGATATATGGACAGAATTTTTTATGAAAACTGAGAAAAAAATAATATTTAAAAAATATCCAGAGTAATGTAGATGGGGCCTGAAAAACTCGACATGAAGGATGTATAAACCTGATGCTCACAGTCTCACAAGCAGAAGTCCGTCATGGACCGTCGGTCTATTTCCTGGCTTCAGTGGGCACAGACAGGCTGTTCTGATCCATGGCATCCCAAACGACCACAACAAAAAGTGATGTCACCAAACTGAGTGAACCAAACCTCTTTGTTTCTGTTTCGAGCAGGCAGATTTTGACAGTGTGCTTGGTACAGGGCTGAAACAGAAGCATGTATTTTCTGTGTTGTAAGTAAGGAACAGCGGGCAGATATTCTTTGCAGAACTGACTATCCAAGCCACAGATATTTCCAAAATATCCACGTTTCAACCACACAGCAGAGCTTCCAACAGCAAATGAAAAACAGACTGCAAGGAGCAGATCGGAAGAGCAGATTTTTGGATTCTGCGTGCAGAAGTGCACACTGGTCACAACAGGAGTCGTGTTACAACTTTACCGTCGCTGCCTGCTGAGACCTGAGTATGTACTGTGGTGTGACTCGCATCTAAAGCCAACCCTTAGAGGAAGGTTCAGGGAAAAGAGAAAAACAATGAGATACAAAAAACAAACAAAAAAACATTTCATTTGCTGCACAACACGGGCCACACAATGCTGATGTGGTGCATAATAACATTGTTACTCTGTAGGCACACTCAAAATGCACAAAGTTCACATTTTCTCAACTCAAGACAGTCAAGCTCAGCAGTAGCACAGAGATTAACGCACAACTCACACGCTCACTCACGCACACACACACACATGAACCAGGCATTAAGACAGGGAGTTGGTCTATCAAAAGGTACAAAACAGGATTACCATGCACTTTACAGGTTTCAGAGATAATTCTTTGTCAGATGCACAGATGAGCATCAGCATCCTCCACAATAAGTGCTGCCAGCGCTGTTGCTTTTTCCCCTGCAGTCGATGAAACATCTGCAAATATCGATCAGCATGCTTCGATGGTAACGTCCACTTCTTCTTTTTTTTTAATGTAAGAGCAGTTTTTGTTTGGTAGCCACATCACCAGAATTACTCAGCAACAAGAAACACTGCCACGAGTCACCAATAGCTTTGTCACATATGGTGACGGCGGGAGGGAAACATGCTGCGAGGTGCACCACACCGCAAACTCAGAGCAAAGTGCTAGCTGCCACACAGGGAGAGTGCAGGACGATTGCTAATAAATAAAACGCAGTGATCTGCAGCCTTCCGTCTGCATAGTAAACAGGACAGTTGCAAAGGTTTTCTCACTGAAGCCATGACACGGCACGTAACCAAGAGCAACCAGCTGGATGGAGCCAGGTGAAGGTGGAGGAATGGTGGGGAGGGAATCAAAACGAGGAACTTGTGGGTCATAGCTCTCCAAGGACAGTTTCTTAAGAGGGTGTCTTTGGTGTAGAGAATCAGACGTGCAAAGCTAGACTCTGAAAGCTGAAAGAAGTCAACAAGCAGGTGGGGCGGGGGCCGGCTGTGAGCTGTGAGCTGAGTGATGTGCTGGGGACACGTGGAGATAAAGCTAAGGCCACTCGTGGTGACAACGCTTCCCGTTCTTCTTTCTCTCTTTCTGGAGATGCTCCAGTTCTGCTTCGTACATCATTTCCTGCATCAGGTACTTTTCCCTCCTCATGCGGTCGCAGAGATCCTTCGGCATGTCAGGAATCAGGTACGCTATGAAGGACTTGATCCCAAACACCAGGTGCTAAAAGAAGCAGTAATATGAGTTACCACGAAGAAGCAGCAGGGTGTCCATGCATAATTAATAAAAATATTTGTAAACATAGCTTTTGGTTATTGTTGTTTTTTTTTAAGTGGGGTTGTGCGGAGTAGTTATGAGTAGTCAGCATCTTACTTGGAATGATTTTAAGCGATTACAAACATAAGGGCAATATTCCGTTTATCTGGGGACATTAACAAGTGTCAGATTATACATACAGTGAGAAAACATTTTGGCACGACCGTGGGATATTTTAGCTAGAGCCCGGCCGATATATCCGTAGGAACGATATTTTAAGCCGAAATGGGCCTTTGAGGACCTATTGTATTGGTAATAATTGTCCCATTTTTTGCTGACGTTATCGTTATCTTTGTCGTCCTCAATGAAATGCATTGTCTGAAATATTTACTTCTCTGCTAAAAAAAAAAAAAAAAACGAACATAGGATGAGCATGGCAACTCAAACATTATGTGACTGAGAGAAAAGAGACTTAATAAAGTGGAGTTTCATGCAAAAGTGACGGGGTGTAAAAGAGTGGTCCCAAAATTTGAGCTTAGGACCCCACTATAGATCTAAAAAACACCAAGTGGGGGGGTCTCGAGAAAAGCTGCATGACTCAGACTGATCTTAAAAGTAATGGTATATTTAGTCTTAACAGTTAAAAAAGAGATAAAAACAGCAGCCATAAATGAATAAAAATAGTATATTGATGAATGCAGCTTTTTGTTGAGTTTTAACAGCATTGTTTGTAAAGTATATACTTAACAAGCAATAACTGGGGTCACGAGACTGCAATTTTTATTTTGCAGGTCAAAAGCCAAAATGTTACAGTACTACTAATACTAATATAAAGAACAACAAAATGAGCATTTGCTTGAATATTTCTTGCTTGAGTTGTTTTCAAGCTCTGCTCTGAGCAGATGTCATGTTAGTGAGTGGATGAGCAGGTAAGATACTGACTACAAATAAACAACACCACTTAAAAACACTGATGCATCCTTTTTAAAAAGCATGCAGAACGAGCCTCTATTGCGGCACACATTTTACATCAAAAACATCGTAATCTTTTTCAGACGCATAATTTAATAAACCATGAAAGTCACCTGAAGCTCTGAGGCTTTTGTTGTACTAATGACATAAAACCGACCAAAGAAGCTAAAAATATTAAAGATGATTAAAACTGCGAGGGGATTAAGTTTGAGCTGAATGAATTTGTAAACACACAAAGAAAGAACGGGCAGCGACAGACCTCAAAGACGATGATGAACGCGAGCCGGGCAGCCAGGACGTGCCAGAACTGCAGGGTGAATTCGTAGGGCACCGAGCTCCATGGTGGCGCTCTGTAGTCTCTGTACCTGCAGTATCTGGACCAGCTGCTGTTCTTCAGCTCCCACATATCAAACACAGACAGGCTGCTGTTCATGTAGCCCTGCAGGCACCTGAGGGACATGTTATCTCGCTGTAACACGAGCTGCACTGACCTACAGTATATTCTTCACCTTCACTGGTACTTACTCATCTGCATGGTGTTGCCCTTTGTCCACACAGGGCCCGTATTTGAAGGCGTAAACAAAGCGGGGGATGTAATCTGAGGTTATCGCAATGACAAAGGCGTTGGTGATGACTGCCAGAACACCAATACCTTCGAGAATCCCGTGCCAGATACCTGTGGAAAAAGACATCTTTCAATTCACTGTGACAATTATTTAGATTTAGTGAAAAGTATTAAAACATAAAGTCTCTGCAGATTATTGAATTTAATATTAGAGACAAATTATTATTTGCCAGATAGTCCAACAAGCAGCTGCTAGTGTATGCAAACATTAAAACTGGGAGAAATGGCACAAGAGGAGCAACATATGTCAGCTCAGAGGGACAGGATACAAAGTCAGGTTCATCACGAAAGGATGACATTTATTTATTTATTTTATTTGATCTACATTTAACCAGGTTGGTCAGTTGAGAACAAATTCTTATTTACGACGACGACCTGGCCAAGAGGCAGCAAATACACAGACAACACAAAAACAACTGACAATCAAACATCAAGTTTTACAGACCATGTGAACTGATAAAGAGCTAGGGCTGGTTTCAGGGTACAAGACAGTAAGAACAGAGACTGTGCAGCCATTATCGACCAGTGTCTAGTTCAGGGGTCTGCAGCCTGCGGCTCTGGAGCCACATGCTTGGTCCCTCTGCAGCGGCTCTTTCAAGCTTTGACCAAAACTGACATAAAACTGAATTTTATTGGTTATACAAACAACAAAAAAGGACTAGTTCAAACAGTTTTCCTGTCATTTCTTTTGCAAATATGTGAACACTGGAGCGACTACAAGGAGTAAAATATATTTTAACTTGATGCTTCATTTTTTTAATACAATATGAACAACTATATCTGCATAATTTATATCCATCCATCCATCCATTTTCTTTGCCCGTTTATTCCATTTTGGGTCACGGGGGTCGCTGGTGCCCATGTCCAGCAATCACTGTGCGAGGGGCGGGGTACACCCTGGATGGGTCGCAAGTCCATCACAGGGCCACATAGAGACAAACGAGACAAACAACCATTCACTCTCTCACTCACACCTAGGGACAATTTAGAGTTACCAATCAGCCTAACATGCATGTTTTTGGTCTGTGGGAGGAAACCGGAGCACCCGGAGAAAACCCACGCATGCACGGAGAGAACATGCAAACTCCACCCAGAAGGCCCCTGGACCGGGGTTTGAACCAGGGACCTGCTCGCTGAGAGGCAGCAGCTCTACCAGTTGCGCCACCGTGCTGCCTGCATAATTTATAGATTTTTGTAATTTAAAAAAAGTTAAAAAATATATATATATTTCCCCCTTTTTTACAAGAAGCTGGCCTTTTACTTTAAATAAATGTTAAAAATCATTAGATTTTTTTTTTTGGGCTTTATAATGTTGTCCCTACTGGCCACAAAAGCCCCCTCCAGCAAACCTAAAGTGGCTCATGAGTCACCAGTTGATAACCACAGTTGTAGCAGGGTGTTGGGGCACACTGTGGTGAATGAAAGTGAACAATGGCTCTTTTTTTTTCTGTCTGGCTCTCGCTCGAGGTGGCTGCTCCTGCCCTCCATCCCTCCCCTGTTCTCCTTCCTCCTGCTTCGCTCTCTGTGTGTCTGAAGCACTTGCTACACATCTCCCGAACAAAAATTAAGATTATGAATATGGTGAGCTGGACTTTCAATGCAATCGACAAAATTTTTTCAACAAAACAACAGCGTCTTGGAGAACCCACTTGTCCAGCTGAGACTCATGCTGCGGGGTATGTCATGGACCCGTGGGGAGTGTGGCAGCTGATGTGTCTCTCAGTCCTGTCTCAGGAAGATTTTGAAGACATTTATATATTTGGATTTATGATAGCAGGGACTCTGTTTTTTGGCATTGGCGGGGCTCTGTTTAATCGACTTTTGAAGAAGACATCGGCAGCAGTTTCGGCCATGACAAAGCTTCTGAGTCAGTGCGAAGTTTTGGTTCATGCTATAAGTACTCAAAATCAGCTGATTTATGAGCTAAACTGTAAGATGGAGGCGACTGGTGAGAATCGTAGGCCACCTGCGGCTCCTAGGACTCGTCAGTATGTTGGGATCAACCTTGAAGGAGGCTCATAACATGGATCAGTGGAATGGATACCCATAAATTTGGCCATTTTGAACCAGAAAGTTCCAGAAGGACTCAGGGCTGACAAGAAAAAAACAGCCTACCTGAAGAAAATAAACATTTGAGGCTTATCTGAATCTGATTCCCCCGTTTGGCCTTGAATACGAGCCAACTCTCAAATTTCTCCTGGGACATGGGTAACTAGAGACAAATGCTTCATCTATCGCACCCCCCCCCCCCCCCCCCCCCCCCCCCCCCACCCGAGAACTTCTGTGCAGGCTTATCAGAACGGCAGCATCATCAGAACTGTGGCCTATCTGAAAAACGCTCATGGACAAATCTCAACATCTTGACATCAAATGCATATGTGATGTGTTTACAAATGTGTTTGCTGGTAGTTTTTTGATGTCTCAAATTGTGTCCTGATAGGACAAGATGTGAAGAAATATTTTTTGTAATACCACTATCCATCCTCATGGTTCTTCCCTTTTTCTATCTAAAAGTATTCTGATAAAGAATAAGGGGCCGCGCTTCTCAGCAGCAGCAACGTGCACTCCATTCATCTTTCAGACGACTGTACGAACATAATTTCACTGTATTCCGGTACAATGATAATAAAGCTTATTCTGATTCTGATTCTGATTGTAAAGGTTGCAGCCCCCTAGTCTAGTTACTAATTTATCTAATTCATGCCTTATTTTGACTATTCTCCGTCCTTGTGCCCGCGACCCATAAATCAGCCTGAAGAATGGTTCAGTTAATAAAATGTACCAGGACAAACAAGGAGCAGGTGGAGAGGAGGCATGCTCGAGGAGCTCTCATGGAGGATGAACTGTTTTTTGTGTGTGAATTTTCTATATTTGCATCTAAGAGAGGAAAGTGATTTTCATCCCAAAATAACACAACCAGTAAAAAGACAAGAACCTATATCTGTCGCTCGCGCTGGCATGGGTCTCCTCCACTGAGTGACAAACTTGTAGGCGTCCAGACGAATCTCGATGATGTTGTTGAGCAGAGCGAGGAGAGGAGCCAGAGGGAAAGCTGCTACAAAGATGGTGGTGAAGCCAAACTGGAGAACTGTAAAGAAAAAAAAAGTATATATTTACATTAGCACATAAACAAACGTTAACTAAAAAGCTGGCATTCCTTGAAAAGATGCATATCCGTCTGGTGGTTCAGGAGGTATTTTGCTAACAAACACGAGAAAAAACATAATCCCTGCCTTTCGCCTTGTTGTGGGTGATAAAAGCTGAGTTGTATTGCTTTGTTCAGCACACGAGTAAAACGATTTACCCATCTCGAGGTATTCGTCCACCAGCCCGTGGGCGTTCATCGGCTGCAGGTTCCAGTCTTTGTCCCACTGTGGAAGCTGGGTTTTGTTCTCCACGTTTGGCCCTCCACCTCCTCCTTGCTTCATCTTTCGACGAGACCACCAGTTCTGCAGCAAGCTGAGAAAACAGGAGCTAATTATTGTCAACTGAAAGCAATTATTTCAGACAGCACAATGAGCTCGGCAGGAGACCAAAAAAAAACAACAAACATCTGCAATTGATTGCATTAAAAACAGTCTTTTCATACGGTAATGACCAAAAGAATAATACAGTAATAAATCAACCCATTAATGAAAAGCACACTGAACTAAAAGGAACCATGTGATCATAATGAGGTACTTACGGATAACCAAGTTCCATGAAATTATTCCAGATTTGTTTGAAGAACATGATGACTCCCATTTGCAAGCACAGATCAATCAAACAGCCGCTGGGGTGACACTGAGAAAAATAAATTTATTTGTAAATGTATTTAAAAAAAAAAAAACTACAAGTTTTCATGCCTGGTAATTCAAAGATATGAAAGTATCTGTGAACCCACATGACCCCTGCTGTTTTCTGATCACAGAAAATCTGGGTAATTACGAGGAAGCTTAATGTTTCATACAGAAAATACACAGACGGATCATCAGAAAGACGATTCACTGAGGAGAAGTACAAAGGTTAATGATCCCCTCAGACTCTGCTGAAACTACCACAACACATTCTGAAGGGTGCTCACCTCCTCCAGTCTCCATCGATTAAAAAGTTTATTGTATTTTCCAGGCCTGCCAGCAAACCTGAACAAATTAAGAGGAGCATCGTTAGCAGCTGAAGTCTGTCGCTAATAACATATATCAAGGAGGAACATCAGACTCTATACGGATCATAAAGACGCCGAATAAACAAGAGTTTAGTCACAATCGCAGTCAGGATGGTGTTTAGCTTTTACATTGAGATGGGAAAAGGTGTGAAGGTAATGATGACATCAAACATCTTTGATAACGTCGCAAACAGAAACAGCAGCAGTCAGAGCTGTCGGCCTACCTTCCGAGAAAAAAGGCGATGTAAAAAGTGGAGCTGTTTAAATTCACAAACTGGAAGAGAAACATTTTCAGAGCGAAACTGTTCTCCCACTCAGACTCTGTGCGTGGGTGCTCTGAGGAAGAGAAAGCACAGGGGTCATAATGAAGCAGAAAAATGGAATACTCAGCAAAAAATAAAAGACTCAGCCATGCTGGAGGAAATGCTTATTGTCTGCTGCCTGAAAGAGCATCTGCTGAGAAATGACCAAATTACAGCCTTTTTGATCAAACCTGGAAAATACTGCTCCATGTCATCTCATGCAGTATAGTGAGATCGTGTTAAACCTGTAAGCGTTCAGAGCATATGTTGGAGATGACTCTCAGCTACTACCACATTACATTTCAGCTCAATGAGTGTCATCCACACAGAGTTATAGTTGTCATTATGTAGGCAAACCTCAACTAGCTGTTGTGGCCATTTTGAATTGGAATGACTCCAAAAGTTACCGATAATGAGCTGTAAATGTACACTTACTGATTACTTACTGGTAGTTTTAACAAAATGTGTCCTCCGGCTCATGAGATATTTTGCTAACAGACAAACAACGTTGATTCTAATGTCAAAGTTTTAAGCAAAGATCTCACACCATGTAATATTGCTATAATTAACAGTTGGGGATGATTCTCAGATACCACCACAGCAAATCTTAGCTCAAAATCTGTACCGCTGACCAAGTTAAGTCATTGTTGTGTTTTCTAACTAAGAAACTACTAAGAGTACTGTATTTTCCGGCGTATAAGGCGCGTCCGTTAAAACAAAGCATCATGAAGAAGAAAAAACATATAAGTCGCTTCGACGTATAAGTCACATTTATTATGGGTCACTGCTGACCTGTCAAGTTTGTTATAAGTTTATTCAATGGTCAAAACTGTTTCATTACACCTGGGTGCTGCGGTACCATCCATCTATTCATCCATCCATCCATCCATCCATCCATCCATCCATCCATCCATCCATCCATCCATCCATCCATCCATCCATGCATCAATCCATCCATGCATCCATCCATCTATGCATCAATCCATCCATGCATCCATCCATGCATCCATCCATCCATCCATGCATCCATCCATGCATCCATCCATCCATCCATGCATCCACCCATCCATGCATCCATCCATCTATGCATCCATCCATCCATGCATCCATCCATCCATCCATGCATCCATCCATCCATCCATCCATGCATCCATCCATCCATTCATGCATCCATCCATCCATGCATCCATCCATCTATGCATCCATCCATCCATGCATCAATCCATCCATGCATCCATCCAGCCATCCATCCATACATCCATACATACATACATCCATCTATGCATCCATCCATCCATGCATCCATCCATCCATGCATCCATCCATCTATGCATCCATCCATCCATGCATCAATCCATCCATGCATCCATCCAGCCATCCATCCATACATCCATCCATCCATGCATCCATCCATCCATGCATCGTGTCCGGAGCCGCTAGCTCTCCAGCGTTCCTTGCCTGCACCAGCTGAGTGAAGCGAGCGTGCATGGGAGGACTTGCTGTTGCAGTTCTTCAAAATTTAACAAGATTAACACTTAAAAACAATTATTTTGCTCGACATAATAGCAAAGATGTGTTTCAGTTTAACTTTTACTTAATAAATGCACTTTAATGGTCAAAACAGCTTCATTTCACCTGGGTGGTGAGGTAAAATGAAGCTGTTTTGACCCTGAGCAAACAGACATGTTTGAGCCAGGTGCACGCTCGCACCTCGCTGCTTCCCGGGGCCGCGGATCATGCGTCTCGCTGTCCCCTTCCTCCCCGCTCTGAAGGTGGAGGAACACTGTAGAGCTCACAGCCGGAGCCACGATGATTGGATGGATGGATTGATGGGTGGATGAATGAACTGATGGGTGGATGGATGGGTGGCGCACTGCCATGGAGCCTTCTCGCGCCTGTACCGGCTGCAAATGGTAATGTTTACTCTGGTTCATGTCAGAATAAATGAACATTTCAAGTGTCAGTCAAAAATTGTGTTATAAATGTGGAGAAAAAAACATATATAAGTTGCAGGACGTGCACATTTATGCAACAAATTGCGACTGATACGGTAGTTGTCTTTGGCAGCCAGCTTAATTTAGGATTTTCTGTAAAAGCTAATCATTTGTAGATGTACATTTATTCATTATTTCCTGAAAGTTTCAATAAAGTCTGTCCAGTGGTTGATCAGATATTTTGCTAACAGTCTGACAGAGTTTGCATTAATTGTTTATAGAAAAAATTTAAACAATTAGTGCTTAAAACATAATTCGGGGTGACTCCCAGCTATACTAACACCAGGTTTGTTCTTAACATCTGCAAAAATGACAGAGTTTTAGCCATTTCTGTGTTGGCTAAACTTTAGCTCTGATGGCCATCTTGAATTGAAGTAACCCTAAAAGTTGATCAGCTGTAGCTGCAGATCTAATGCTTATGTTCTGAAAGTTTTCTTATTATCTATTTACAGGTTCATGAGAAAAAATATAAATTACCCTCCTTTGCCTTTCAGTAGCAGGCGATATAAAAAAGATATAATGCTTACCTAAATTAGTCAACAGGTAGGCCACTTTCTCATAGACCTGACAAAGTGAAAGAACTCATGAGCATCAACAAAAGGAGGACAGCACAATTAATGGAGGTAAAGAACATTTCCTGGAACAAATTTCTAAACGAAGGCTACATGAAGCATGTGTTGGACAGAACATGTAAACAGATGATGCTTGTCCAGACACCCACCACGTTCAGAGACATGATGATCATAAAGTTGATGCAGACACCAGTGCCAGACGTGGCAAACTGCCAGTTCTTCTTAACAAAATGCCAATTGAAGGAGGCAAACTTCTCCATGGCGATAAGACGGAAAACCACCACAGCAAACACAGCCGTGAGGACGAGGGAGATCTACGCACAAAGACAAGAGAGTCATTAGCTCAGGGTGAAGGGTTAGTGACGAGCTCTGCAAAACACACTGAATTTATTTAAATGATACAATAATCCTCTATTTTTTATGTTTTTTAAATACACTTTTAGTCCAGCAGGGGGAAATGTTGCACAACAACTGAAAGGTGTGAGCACAATCTGACTGAATCCTAAAATAAGGCAGATTATAGAGATCAAAGGTCCCACCATGAAGAATATTCCTGACACAGACACCATGAGCCGGCTGAGTTTGTCCGAGAAGGGCTGGAAGGGCTCGGGCTTGCCAGAGATGGGGTTAACTCTCTCCACCCGGGAGTATTTGGCTTCAAACTGAGGCCTTAGCTCCTCCTAAATGACATCAATACAATTATTGAGCTTTAAAATAACAGAAAAGGGTGATACTGGGTATTTTTCAGGGGTCCGCTGCTGACGTACCTCCTCCTCCTCCCAGTCAATAAGATCCCAGTCGTAAGTCAATTCTGCTCGTCTCCTTTTCCAGAACTCCAGGAACACCGTTGCTGCAGAAGAGATGGGGAATCCATCATGTTATCGATCTTTATAGATTTATATCACGCATGAATGTGATAACTCACAGAGGACAGTGCACGCTCACTTATCCTGAGTGAAGGGGCAGACACATTCACGGCCCATTCTGGAAACTGACTGCAGCCTTCACAACGCTTTGCTTTGGTGGAGGCGTTACAAGAACAGCAGCGGCAGAAGGGCTTATTGTACAGTCTTACACCCCTGAAGGGATTTTATTTTATTTTATTTTGAAAGCCTCTTGGGAGAATATTTCTGTCAGGATACATTGTTTTCCATGATGTCAGCTTTTATTGTGACTTCAGCAGCAAAAGCCACAAATGATGATTTTTTTAAATCGTCAAAATATTTATGTGCTCTGTTTCATCACAGAAATATGACCCAAGAAAAAGGCTTTCATAAAAACAAGAAGAATGGGACACACACGGATATGTGACACAATAAGTCTATATCACGGTCGGTGGTTGGACCCAAGTGCAGGCGGACACGGGGAGCATGAGGTAAAATAAAAACTGATTTATTACGTAATTGAAAACAAATGGCTGACGTGGAGACAACAACTTACAAAAAGCTCAAGGAGCAGGAGGGAGCGTGGCAAGGAGGACCGAGACATCTGGCAGGGAGCCAAGACAATGACCCGATGGTGGAATGGTGATCAGAGGAAGTTTAATTAGAGACTGAGGAAGAGTGGAAAGTTGCAGCTCCTGAGTGATTAATCTTGTGGAACAGGTGTGAGTGGAAAGGTGCCTGAAAGCAATCTGAGAGGTTGACTGAGGGTGGAGATGAGACGTGACACTGGGAACACAGGGAGCTGAATAAAAACACAAGGTATATGAAAACAACATGAACCACGAGGAGAACAGAGACAGTCTGTCCAGTCCAAGTTCTCTTCCACCTGACTGCATTCAGCAATCTGATTACCGCGCATGCGCACGCTGCCACCAACAATGTGATGAGTCTTTAGTGTTGTGTCAGTGTTACTTTTGTTTGTTTCCCTTCCTTTATACGTTTTAACGTGATTCTAAATGGATACGGTGCTTTTTACTATTATTCTTTTTATTTATTTATTTCATATGGATTTTGCTCACACCAGAAGCAGGAACAGCAGAAATGAGTTGCTGAAGCTGAACTTTACAAGGCCTGTTGGTGCGTCAGGCATCATGCCACAAATACCAGACCCCATTTTGAAACAAGTTAAGAATAACTCTTATGGCGGAGTGTGGGAGAATAGAAGGCGAAAGCGGGGAAAGCGGGGAAAGCGAGGAGGCGTCCGGCCACGGCTGAGGAGGCTGCAGCTTAAACTGATCCCACTACCTTCAATGATCCTGGTGAATGTCCAGTCTCTCAGGTATAAGATCGATGAGATTCAGGGAAATGTCTGCTTCCAAAAGGATTTTAAGGACTGCTGTGTGATGGCGTTCACTGAAACCCACAGAGCATGACAGCAATGAAGGCCTGTCAGTCAATGGCTTTGGGGCACCGTACCGGCTGGACTGGGACACGGAGGTAACGGGGAAAACACAAGAAGGAGGGCTGTGTCTTTACATCAACAAGAGATACTGTACTTTTTATTTATTTATTTATTCATTTAGTCATTCAATTAAAATAAAGAAAACAAACAAAACAAATCCATTAAAAAGAAAAACATTGAATGAAAAGGGTGCAGAAATAAGAAGAAAATTCTCATATCTGCCCTTTATTTAAAAAAAAAACAAAAAAAAACCCAACTACAAACAACAACTCAGGCTTGAACAATCCCCAAAGTGAAAACAAAAAACATCAGGCATTCTTCACATCATACTTTCCTAACAATTTTAACTTAATCATCTTTTTAAACATATAAATTGTTTTAGAAACTTTTATGGTAATTCCACAATCCTATTCCCTGAATTACAACACAGTGCTCCTTCAGACTAGTTCTAAATGGAGGTTTTTTCAAACATTTCCATTCCTTTAAGGTTATAATGACTCAGGTTTTTTTTTATTTTTTTTTTTTTACAAATTTTAATTGAATATTTGGGGGTAGGCAGCACAGTGGCACAACTGGTAGAGCTGCTGCCTCTCAGTGAGCAGGTCCCTGGTTCAAACCCCGGTCCAGGGGCCTTTCTGGGTGGAGTTTGCATGTTCTCTCCGTGCATGCGTGGGTTTTCTCCGGGTACTCCGGTTTCCTCCCACAGACCAACAACATGCATGTTAGGCTGATTGGTAACTCTAAATCGTCCCTAGGTGTGAGTGAGAGAGTGAATGGTTGTTTGTCTCGTTTGTCTCTATGTGGCCCTGTGATGGACTTGCGACCCGTCCAGGGTGTACCCCGCCCCTCGCACAGTGATTGCTGGACATGGGCACCAGCGACCCCGTGACCCAAAATGGAATAAGCGGGTAAAGAAAATGGATGGATGGATGGTATTTGGGGGTAATATTTTTATGAGCTTTATACATGATTTGTAAAATACTATACTCATCCAAATCATAACATTTTAATAATATCAATTGATGAAATAATATATTTGTTGGGTGACAAAACACTTCCCACTAATAATTCTTATGACTCTTTTTTTGCAAAATAAAAATAGGGTTTGTAATTGTTTTGCATGCTTTCCCCCAAACTTTAATACAATAGATTAAACATGGAACAATCATTACATTATACAATATATACAAAGCTTTGTCATTCAAAAACTCTTTTACTTTATACAGTAATGAAATTGATTTTGCTATTTTTATTCTTAAGTAATTTACATGAGATTTCAGCTTCTCATCAATAATGACACCCACATTTTTTTCATTAACTCAATGAATTTCAATATTGTCAATTTTAAATGGGACTTTGGTAATTTTATTTCTATTAATAAAATCATGTAGTTTGTTTTTTTCCTAATTTAACGATAACTTATTAAGTTGGAACCAAGTTTGTATTTTTATAAATTCTGCCTGTATAATCTCTAACATCTGTTCAATATCTTCACCCGAACAAAAAAATGTGGTATCATCTGCAAATAAAACACACTTCAAAAGCCCTAACACATCAACCAGATCATTCACATACAAAATAAACAACTTTGGTCCCAACACAGAGCCCTGAGGGACTCCACATCCATTGACACAAAATTCAGATCTTACATCATTTACTTGTTTTTTATTTTTTCTCTCTATCCTCCGGTGAAACCAGACGCTTTTCCCTGTCTCCCCCCCCCCCCCCCCCCCCGCTTCCCGTCTGCGTTCTTTTGTCCTGTGAATCCTTAAAAAGCCTCTTTTTTTTTTTTTTTTTTTTGCATACCTCTTAATTCGAATGATCACCTGGTCTCTCAACAAAATTGATCAACTTCTCCCGACAGGAGTCAGGGTAAAGAGGACCCTCTTACCTCGACGGAAACAAATTGGATTCATGATGACAACTGGGCGGCAGCACGGTGGCGCAACTGGTAGAGCTGCTGCCTCTCAGCGAGCAGGTCCCTGGTTCAAACCCCGGTCCAGGGGCCTTTCTGGGTGGAGTTTGCATGTTCTCTCCGTGCATGCATGGGTTTTCTCCGGGTACTCCGGTTTCCTCCCACAGACCAAAAACATGCATGTTAGGCTGATTGGTAACTCTAAATTGTCCCTAGGTGTGAGTGAGAGAGTGAATGGTTGTTTGTCTCGTTTGTCTCTATGTGGCCCTGTGATGGACTTGCGACCCATCCAGGGTGTACCCCGCCCCTCGCACAGTGATTGCTGGACATGGGCACCAGCGACCCCCGTGACCCAAAATAGAATAAGCGGGTAAAGAAAATGGATGGATGGATGGATGACAACTGGTTATTTTGCTGCTTGGTTGGTGAATTCTGGATTGTCTACAAATTTGTGGGGATGTGTCGAAGCTTGACAGTGCTCAGACTGAATTTGTGGAGCTGCAGCAGGGAGCTGGAGCAGCTGTTATCAGGACTGTGAACTCACTGGCAGCACTCATGAATGGTGAGATTGATCTTGGAGAAGCTGTGAGCTCAACTTTTGGCGTAAAGAATCAATTCGGCTGTTTTGGAGTTCCATCAGAGGAATACATACCAGCGAGACTTTAAAAGGCAGAAACAACAATTCACGAGTTCTGCCTGACCCAAACTGTGGCCTTGACGCCGGACTTATCTCAACTCCTCCTGGAATGTTTTGAAAACAGCAAAGATGCTTTGACTGTTTCATCACCCCTCCCTTCCCCAAGGCCGTGGACATGTAACAGAACCTCAACTGAGCTGATGATGAATGTCACCTCTTATCTGGACAATGGCTGAGAAGGGGGGGCTCTGGACTATGCTACGACTTTCCCTTAAAAATTCAATGTTTTCACCGGCCTATATGTACATGTATAACGTCTGTTTATGTTGCTTTGCATTGGTAGGTTTTTTTGATGCCTCAAATTGTGCCCTGTCTAGGGCATGGCATGAGAGATCTTTTTTTAATACCGTCTCTCCTCATGTTTTCTTTCCTTTTCTCATCTAAACACAATATTATTCTGAATAAGAATAAGAATAAGAGGGCCGCGCTATTTAATAGCCACAGCTTTGTGCACTCCGCCCATCTTTCGGACGATTGTACGTATATATTCTCGTTATATCTCGGTGCAATGCCAATAAAGTTTATTCTGATTGTGATTGTACAAACTGTCTCCTATTATTCAAATAGATAACCACTGTATAGTGCAAATCCTCTAATGCCAAATTTATTCAGTTTTCAAGGAGAATGGTGTGGTCAGTAGAGTCGAAGGCCTTTTTTAAATCAACAACAACACTAACACAATACTGTTTTGATCAACAGTACTTCTGTGACTCAGAGAGCACATCTGCATGCCTGATGTGGAACTTTTATCAGTGTCCCTACAACCCATTAACCTGCCCCGCTTGTTCCCGCAGGTCTTCATTACTGTTGTATATACCAAAAGCCAATACATCATCTGCTTGTAGAACTATTTATGATGTTGTGCAGAAGCTTCAATCTATTTCCCCTGAAG